TCGGCGCGTTCCCTGATGTATATGTATGGACTTTTTATTTTAACCTCAAAATTATCAAAAATATGTCTGCGACACAAAAATACTTAAATATACAGTAAATTCTCACGGGATTTAATTATGTTCTAGGACAGATTTTTTAAATATAAATTAAAAAAACATATTTAGAGGAAAAAAAATATGACGCGATAAAATATCAAGAAGCGGAACTGACAAATATGGAACAACTGATTAACAACATTCAAATGGATTCTGAGGAGGGCATTGACAAAGGATTTTCTTTAAATTCTCAAGAAATTACAGGTTTTGTGTCAGTTTTGTAACAGATGGATACATAATCTGCTCCATTTCTCTTGCAATGAGACCAACCAGATTTTAAATATTAATTGATAAAAACAAAAAAAATATTTCCTTTGAACCATGAAACCCCTTTAAAACTTTTATTTTCTTAGAAATTTTTTTATTTAATTACAAAAATATAAGTATACTCACTAAATAACAGGTGACCACGTATATTATATCAAAACTCGGATTTACAAATGTTACAAATACACATTTAATCAGTCAAGACCAAAAACTTTTAATTTGAGATGTAAAGCTCGGAATAAAAAATGTAAAGGGAAAATTACATATATGACGTTTGATTATATGAATAGCAAGGGATTATTTAATAATTTTAAAGAAACTCAGCCACATACATGCAAAACAAATGGTTTGATAAATATTTTTGTTCATTTATTTTCAAAATAAATACCGGTACTTATTTTAATTATCAATTTCATTTTAATTATTAAAATAAAATCGGTAGAGGAAAGTCTAATAATTATATAAAGGTCAGATTGTTTTCACTTGTCCACCATTCTAAAGCACAAAAAAGTTAATTTACCGTATTTCCTCTAAAATAAGCCCCGGGGCTTATTTTAGAGGGAGGGGGGGGGTATTATTTTTCCTAATTATAAATATAATTTTAGGATCATTTGAACACCAAATAAACATTTGCGTTAAACCTGGTTTAGCAAATATAAAACAATTATCATACTGTATTTACATCGAATACAACATAGTAGGAGAGTCGAATAAGAAAACAGAATTTGTTGGAACACAAGAAATTGGAGCTGTAAATGATTGCAAAATACAAAAATTTAAAACTGACATGTTTATAGAAAATATTCGATTCATTGTTGTTTGGAGTGAAAATATATTTTTTGGGAAGGACGATGCTTTGTATGCGGTTGGAAAGAAAACTAGAAAATATTTCTAATTTTAATTTTTAGAGTCATTTCAGCGTTAAAAACGAAGAATTAGTGTCTAATGGTACAATTACATTAGATATAAAGACTATCGAAAGAACTACTCTTAAACATGATAGAAAGACTGTTTATTGAGGAAAGTAATCCGAAAGAGAAATTGATATTTTAGAGAATTTTTTGATTTTTAAATTTTTTGGTTTTCAAGGGTTTCTGAGTGTTTTTTTTAATTTTTCGGGTTTCAAATATGGGTATTTTTGGATAAATTCTGACCTTTAATTTCTTAACTACATAGAAAAGCTGATGGGAAAGTTTTGCGTTTAGTGGAAAAAGCGGAAAGAAATGAATTCCTCAATTTTTTACTTTTCGAAGATTTTATTCAAACTAGAGACCGGCGCGGGTCAAATCCCGACAGGATTTTCCGGAATCCCGGATTTTTTTGAGTTTCGGGATCCGGGATTTTTTCAGGATTTATCCCCCGGGATCACGTCCCGGCATCGGTTAAGAAAAAATTCCGACTCGGAATCCCGAAAGTTCGATTTTGCCGGTCTCTAATTTAAACAATTCTTTTTGAGATTTTATTTATTCTAAACTTCATTCTGTTATTATTTTATTTAAATTGTTATTTTCTAATAGATTCGAGGTTTTGTTTACTAATAGATCTAAATTTTCCCTCAATCACGTACTTTTTTGATTTGCGATATGCGAAATTTATCCTCGGAATCCTGAGCCAGAAAAGTTTTTAACAATCCCATAAACGGCATCTAAACATTACCAGAAACTTTGAAATCGTTCGATTTTTAATGAAAAATACAAAATTAAAAAATAACGATTTTGTATTTTTTATAAAAAATGATTTTTTTCTCGGCCTTCTGAAATTCCTAAAATTTTTGCTTAAGGTGCTAAAAAGGACTCATTCTGGGGTAATGACCTGTAAAAATACAAATGACTTGTAAAAATATTAAATACCGTATTCCAGTATTCTTTTAAAATTGTGTTGAATGGTTAAAAAGTTAATATTTTGATAAAATTAAATTAATTTAAATTAAAAATCAACTAAATATAATTCTAAAAAAATAAAAATATAAAATCCAATTTTTTATCAAATTTTTTTAATTTTTCCAATTGTTGAAATATTATGTCTTCTTTTTATAGTCAAGTTTTTAAACCAACAACGTACTCCCTACAAGGGGTGGACGCAGACCACCACTTGACACAAGACCACCACCACTTGTCAAATTAAGTAGTAGCCATTTTTCAATTGAAGTATTACTATAAGTCAGCGAGTCCTACTCGATTTTGAGATACATGTAAGTTGGATGGGTAATGATTTGGAGAGATATCGGAGATACAAGGGATTATGAATGATATCAAAGGATTTAGCGGTATCAAGGGATTACGGAGATTATCATATAATTTGTCAGGATCAAGGAGGTTTAAAAAGATACAATGGGAGACGAATGTCGGAACAGTTTGGAAGATAGCGGAGGATAAAGGGCTATAAGTTATGAATTTATATTAGTTATGAATTTATACTAGGGATATCAGGAGATTAGGACGCAAAATCAAAAAAAGGCCCACCCCTGCTCCCCACAATAAAATTTTATTTTAGACAAGAAAAATATTATTCAGAATTTAGAGAGTAAAAGGCCTATGAAGCAGTGATGTAAAAGTTCCAGTTCCGGAACTAATTAGTTCAAGTTCCAGTTCCAGAACTAGAACTACGGAACTAACGATTATCTGGAACTAGCTTGGAACTGGAACTACGGAACTAGTAAACGTCTGGAACTAGCTTTTGAACTAGTACTGGAACTAGTTCTTGGGGCCTAATTGCGATCGTTACAAAAATTGCGATCATTACAAAAAAAAGAAAGTTTATCTAATAAAAAGTAAGCGGCCGATAACAGCTCGGTTCCGCTTGGTGATAAAACTAATTGAAAAGAGAAGCAAATTTGAATAATGAATAGCTGCCGCTTGATTCCTTAAAGCTTTTAAAGCAAAAATTAGAGAATTTAAGGGAACTTCAAAGAAATTGAAAAAATTAGATGAATTTTAGATGAGGAAAGAATTAGCGGCAGCCTGACTAAAAAGATTTAACAATAAAATAAACTAAAAATAAGCCGAAGAAAAATGGAATAATTCCAGATTATGGTCCGTTTTTTGCCCCACCCAAAAAGATATAGTCTGTTTTATAAAATTTCTAATATCCTAAGTTGTTGTATACATTCCTCTCTTTTTAGAAAAAGATTTTAGATATCCCGTTAAAAACTACCCCCCCTCCAAAAAGGAAAATTATTCTTCATAATATTCATTGTCATGGATTCTCTCTTCATGAGGTTCACTATAAGTTTCCACCTCATGCGTAAACATGTTTGGATCCCCAAGAAGATAACGTTGTGATCCACCAGAATAGCTGCTTCTATATGGATCTAATTGACTTCCAACCATTTGTTGATTATAATGCGCTAAAGCCTCTTTCTGTTTCAACTCATTTACACGGTTACTCATCTCTTGTGGAAAGACACTTTTATTCTCAATTGAGTTATACAGATCCATAATAATTTTAGTTTGTTCATTAACAAATGTTATCGATGTTCCTATATTTATTAAATATAAATTAACAAATTTAATATTAGAGATCGGCCTGGATCCCAATCATGATTTTTCTTGGATTCTAAGTTAAAATCAAGGCTGTTCATGAATTTATTTTGATAATGATTTTTTCTTGACCAGGGTTAAGTATAAAAATCGAAATTTAATAAAAAAAACCGGGTCCAAGAACCGTGAAACAGGTTCTGAAAGTTGAGAGGGGGGACCCGGACCGGGAAAACTGGGAATTTTCCTCCCCGTTTTCATCCCGTTTGCTTCAAAGAAACAGGGAAAAAGGACCCAAAAACCCGTTCCGTCTCTAGTCAAGTATTGTCAAGGTATCGAATTAAATCAAGAGTCGAGTACAGATCAAATCCTTACTAGTACTAAGATGATATTATTTGATTTGAAATGATTAATGGTGATATTAAGTCATTTGAGTAGTAATTAGGATAGATTCTGTCAGAGGAAACTATGTGAATTAGCACCCAATAATACCAAAGTATAAACCCTACGCGTTATAATCTTATCAACAATTACAAATAAAATCAAGGACTGATTGATAAACCTTGATTTTTTTACTAAGGTCGCCAATTACAATCGGATAAAGATCAAGTTTTTCAGAAGCCTATATAGTATCTAAATAATATTAAATAACCTTCTCGACCCACTCGCGCAGTACGTCCAATACGGTGAACATAATTTTGATATGCTTAAATGAGTACATATTTAAACATACAAGAAATTTTTTTCGCGCTTTAGATGTGACGTGTTATAAAATTTGAGAAATTGGCGTCTGGCATAGTGCGCTCCACTCGAAAATTCTGGCGCACAGCCCTGTTGTTGATAATGTTTATATTTTTAGGGCTGGGTGGCGCAGATGTCGTCGTCGCAAAAGTCGTCGCTTAATTTTCGCGGCGCCTCAGAATCACAATGATGCTGTGATTCATTAACTCGATTAATGAATTTTTCCAATAAAAATCCAATACAGAGATTCTTATCAACTATGGTTCGATAATCAGAAACAATGTATTCATGGATTAGGGTTTGACATTTTTCCGGTCTCTCATATACATATAAAGATGCACCTGACCGTTTTTGCCTTCTTTCCTATAGTTCACCATAGAAAAAAATGTCGCGTCCAATGAGAGTATTAGCGCAATATGCCTAAACCGATTTATAAGCGTGGTAAAATTTAATAAAAACGAATTGCAGAAAGTTGACCGGAAAACGAATGAAATACCCACCTTCAGGAGTATCAAAGTTAATAACATGTGTAATATCACCAATATCTATCCCTCTCGCAAGTACATCTGAGGCAATTAAGAGTCGTACTCTTCCGTTTTTAAATATGCTCAAATTTTCCTTTCTTTCCTTTAGACCAACATCACCGTGAAATGCCAAACAATTGAACTGATCTTTCTTCAGTCGATTTTGTATCTAAAATGTTATTATAATATACGTATATCAATAGTATTCGATAACCACTCGACTTCAAATATGTTTGCTAGCTTAAAATATGTACATGTCTACCCTTTAGTATAGGGGAGAAATGTAAGAAAACAATGACGTCATACCCGATCTGTACGATGGTTATCTAACCGCTTTTTTATTATACGGGCCCCTCTTTTTATGTATCAACCCTTAATGGTATGAAATTTCAGCGTTTTTCTTCAAAAAATATAATTTTATTTAAGAAATTAATTTAAAATTTAGTGGGTTATTATAAGACGGTACTGTTTGAACGAGTAAATACTAAGTATATTATTTTAAATATTATTTTATAATATTATTTTAAGAAAACTTACACTGTCACAAGTACGTTTTTTGTTTGAAAAAACAACAACTTTAGATTTATTCAAGTCTATTTGCTTAGTAAGCACCCACTTAAGCCATTCATATTTTGCAGTCTCGACAACCCAATAAAACAATTGATGTAGATTTGGTGGTAAAGATCGGGTGATTGTCAGTTTAACCTTTATGAAAAATTTGTTAGATTTTATTATGAAAATATTGAGGACTGTCAAAATAACATTTAAATTCTAATAAAAATAACAGGATATTCTTATTACACTAAATTTCTACTTTATGTTTATCTTAATATTTTAATTACATGATCATTTCTAAGAAATTGTTCTACCAATCCAACAACTTTATTCGTATAAGTTGCAGAGAACATTACTAGAAATTTATTTGAGATTTATGTATTAAGGTTTTATTCTACCAGTTGTTCTTTCCTCTTTTGCCGGAAGTTGTGTAATTATTTCCCCAGTTTGATGGGCAAAGCTACTATCTTTAATTTATTTATTGAATATTATTTAAATTAAACACAACTTTTCATACCAAGTAGTCTATCAGATTCATCCATTACAGCAAAAGTACTCTGACTCAAATTAATAACAGAATTTTTCATCATTTCTATAAGTCGCAAAGGTGTGGCAACTAGAATGTCACATCCTTGCTTAAATTGCAAAAAGATAATTTTTAAATGGATTAAGTTGGTACTTACATACATAGTTGGGTACTATGCGTTTATATCAAAGTAGCAACACGACCATTCGTGGGCAGGTATGTCGGAGATCGGGGTTTGCCGGGGAAGGCATGTCGGGGGTCGGGGTTTGACTAGTGTTGACACAGAACCCATACTCCAAAACGAACTCCGAATTCGATAAATATTTTATTTCAATAAAAAGTTTAACATACTTTAAGGCTAGCAACCTGTGGGGCATAATTATTATGCCCCCCATGAACAAGTGCTGGCACAAGAGGTGTACGGTATGTTAATTTCAAAACTTCGTTGTATGTTTGTTGTGCGAGTTCTCTTGTTGGCAAAAGTATCAAAGCTTTAGGGTAAAAAGCCTTCACCTCTTTATCCTAAAAATTACTGTTTAAAATTTGTTAATTAGTGTACGAAAACTAATTAGAGGTGTGCGAAAAGCGGACCCAAACATACCGTATTTTTCCCAATAGAAGCGCATGTCCCATTTGAAGCGCACCCTATGAAATACTTATTTGAGCAATTACTCTGTTACATAGTTACTATTTTAAACAAACATAATTCATTATTTACATTTAGATTAAGAATTTACACTTTTTTTATAAAAAATGGATTCTACTTCCGGTTCAGAAATTGATGTTTAGGTAATGTAACCGGTGCTGTGTTCAAGTAATGTAAACGGTGCTATACTCGAAAACGCAAATCTTATTCTATCGATAAATTTTTTCAATCTTCCCTTTGTACTACAATCACAATAACGACTTGTCCCTTTCTAGTCGAAAGATTTAAGGTTTTTTGAGTTATACATAATTGGGGAAAAACTTATTTCCATCTTGCCTAGAAGATGGATTGGAAATAGCTGGATGGATGATGCTCTCACAATCTAATACATATTTGAGATAATACATATTTGAGAATAAATACATATCTAATATAGAGATAATACATATCTAATACATATTTGAGAAGCGCAGTCTATGAGGAGGTTGAAAAATAGATGCGCTTCTATTGGGAAAAATACGGTATACATATTTCTAAGCAGACCCGAAGTATTTATCGAAAACCTTACTTTTTTTCTTCCTTTTCCTTTACTTTCAATTTTTGTTTCGTTTTGATTTCCATATTTCAAAAGTCTATCAATCAAAGGAATGAGAAACGCGGCCGTCCTGTTAGTAGTCAAAGTATTTATTTAATAAAAAGCAAATGAATTTAGGGTTGAGAAAAAATTAAGATTTTGCTTAAAAGTAAAACGAAGCTGCTAACTTTCCTGAGCCAGTCTCAGCCACAGCAATTAAATCATTCTGGTGTGATATTGTCAATAAACGAATAGCGTATTTCTGAGTAAAATTAGAATTAAAACAAACCAGAATAAAGTTACCTGGACAGGTGTGGGCATTTTAAAATTACAAAAATTAATATTTTCCAGTAACCAAGGATGTAAATTCAAATGACTATCATCAAACTAAATAATTTTTATGAGTCTGATGTATGAATTTTCTTTAAAATATTGACTGGAATCAAGTGGAAGTATGCTGGGTCCATTCTAAAACAATCTTGGCACATAAAACTATTATAATCCCTAATTACAGCTATTGGGTTTGCCAGACCCTAGCATATACCTTTACCAAGCCACACCGGTGTGCTCCATCTTTGGGGCACTTACAAAAGACTTACTGGGAACTGTTTTATCGGTTAAACAATAAATATATAAACATAAACAAGTGAATGGGAGCTGATAAAGGAAATAGCGATAGATGAGAATTAATGCGTAATTGTTGGGAAAATCCATTAATGCATAATGAATGATCACCATTGCTTAGTCAATCAAAGGATGTGCCTTACACTGGAAGGGTGTCTTTGGTTCCTTAAACGTGAAATCCCCATGAAAACCTTTCTGTTCCTTCCTCTAGTCTGTTTAGGATATCTAGACACTTCTATAGCTTTTGATTCAAACCATAAACTTTCCCCTTTTTATAAACTAAACCAAGAAAAAACTTGCATTGTTAATAGGAATAACACCATTTGTGATATCATTACCAAACCTTTCAATGTGAACGCTGATTGAATCACTCATTTCAAAGTAGGTTTCATCCACTGGTAAACTACTTGTTTGGTATATTTCTTGTTCAAAAGCTTGATTTCTAGTTCCCTGATTATCCCAAGTTCCTTTGCTTTCCAAAAATTTCTTTAAAAGGCTTTCGTGTTTAACCGCCTATTAATATAGTGACAGAATTTATTTAGAAATCTGTTTTAATCAAATAAATTACCGAAAAATTTTTAAATTCACATAAGGACTTAATTGCCTTATTTAATGCATAAATTCTAAATAATTCAGTAAATCCATTTTTTGAATTATTTTCACTAATTTTAATTGAATTCTCCAATTCATCATGATTATACAAATCTTTTTTAGCTATGCAGTCATATGGTTTATAATATACAAGTGCATAGAAATGATCAAAAATTTCCTTATCCTTCTGATGCAATTTAGAGTTGGAATATGTTTCGAAATCTTCATCTTTAATTAAAATTATTTTGATGCCAGATTTGTTAAGCAATCAAAAATAGTATGTTGGAGGGACGTGCCATACCGTATACTTTTAGCATATCCCTGATATATATTTAGACTTTTTCGCGGTTTAGGACAGAAAATTGTTGAAAACGGGCGATTCTATCAGAGCCTGCGTTTTAGCAGAAATTTCTGTTCTATTAGAGTAAAGTTGGCCGGTATCGAGATTTCGACATAAAACCGGGATAGGAATTTTGGAATAATGATCTTGATTTCGGCCCCGATCCAGAATCGAGATTGAAAAATCTGAACAATGTTGTGACTTATAGGGGGTTTTTGTTGGCTGGACCGATTTCGACAAATGAGGTGTCATTCGAAAGAGCTCGCCGAGCTGAGTCGATCCCGCGGGGGAAAAACTTCTCTCACCCCGCGATCGACTCGGCTCGGCGAGCTCTTTCAAATGACACCTCATTTGTCGAAATCGGTCCAGCCAACAAAAACCCCCTATAAGTCACAATACCCAATCTGAATCGGTATTCGAAATAACCGGGATAACCCGTCCGATTTGGATTTCACGCCCGATAGATCATTCGCTTACATACAAAATTAATTATATTTACATATTATTTCCAATGATTTATTTTTCGTTAATGAATCAATTATTTTTTTCAAAAACTTTTTCTTTTCCCTTTCTAATTTTTGCTTAATTAAAGCTTCTCTGTAAATATTTCTAGCTTTAATAAGCTCTTTAAAGAAAAGAGTAACAAATTCCTCATTATAACTATTTTCCAATTTTTCGTTTTCTTCTTTGAAATGTTGAATAATTCCATTTTCATCGACAATTTTTGTATAAAATTCATTTTCAAATTCCTGTTTTACAATTTTCAAGCTTTGACTGATAAGTTGAAAAAGGGGGCCTGGATTTTATAAAAAATATATTTTTTAAAATCAACGTGACTTAATATATAATTGTTATTTTCGTTTAAATTTCTTCATCCGTAAAAGGCTCATAATGGTCAGATTTTCTTAATTCCTCAATATCACTCTATTTCCTTATGGCATTCAATCATTCAGGAATTAAAAAAAATTTTAATATCAAAATTTACGAATTGGAGGTCTGCCTCTCGGTTCAATATTCGTTTCCTCTTGTGGTTGTTCCGTTCCAACATTTCCGTGAAAGGAAGATGTCGATGGACGTCCACTTCTCATTCCAAAGACAATCGACAATAAAATTGTTAAATGAAAAAGAGTTTCGAGAACTCTCATTTCTCTAAAAGTTTAAAAATTTTTGTGACTCTATTCTACATAAAGACTAGAGTTGAAGAGAGAGAATGTAAAATCAAGTTTATCTTAATAGAGCTATCCAATGCTAAATATTGAGCGTTTTGTGACTCCAGACATTGCAGCTCCAGAGCCTTCCTAAAACTCAGAGAAGTGGCCTCGATCCCACATTTAATCCGCTAAACACTTCTATATCTCTTTTAATCCTTCAAACGAGAATATGGTAGGTTGGGAGGGCTGAGTGGCGGTAGCTTGGCCTGCACTTTTTATAAATGTCTAATTATAAAAAAGTCCTTTCCTATCACTCAAATATATAGTCACTTTTACTTTAAATAATCCCGCCCAAATTGGTAATAATTTTTAGAAAGGCGGGACGCTCATAGAAAGGGAAATTTTAAAATAAATTGCAAAATTGTGTTTTGGCATTTTCGGCAATAATAAAGTAAAAATATTTACAAAATTATTGACTGTGTTATAATTCAATTTTTGCCCTTTAAGCAAAGTGCAAATATTTTTACAGTCGGTATTTTTTTTTTGAAGAATCATAAGTCGTCTTTATTTATTTCATAAGGATTTTTAAAGTGTGTTTTGATTTTCGGTAAAATAAAAAGAAAAAATTATAGTAAATTATTTATTTACCCTTAAATTTTACCATTACCCTTCAAAGCATCGGAAATTAGCTTTGAATTTAAATATTAGACAATTTAATTAAAAATAAAAGATAAATAATTTTAAAATTAATTTTTATTGCTTCCAAAATTGCAAAAAAAAAGCTAAATGAATTTGGGAATTTTTCTAAAAAATCATTTAATAAAATTAAATTTTCTTTTTTTTTTCTTTTCACTGGAAAATCTAACAAAAATAAAAAACCATTTAAAACTTGTTTTAAAAATTGGAATAAAAAGATTAGGGATGAAATAAATTGATATTTACTAAATTTAAGACATTTGTCCAAAATTTAGGGTGTATAATTTTGGAGGTTTTAGAGCAGGGCTCTCATCGACAAAATACCAATCAAGAGTACAAAAATCTCGATTTTAAAGTACATAGGGACAAAATTTCCAAATTTAAAGGACACTCAAAATTAAATTAGAAAATATTTATTCGCCCTAAAATCTTTTATACTATTTCTCTGCTAAATGAATTTTTCTAATAATCTCTTGTTTCCACTGAGCATTTTGTGCATTTCATACACGCCATGTCAAAATTCGCTGTCACAAGAAGTAAA